GAAGAAAAGTCAAATATGGATTGGCGTTTTTTTTTCACATGGTTTAGATTGAATAAAGTTTACCAAGAATGACTACATGATTACTCTAATGAGATTCAAGGCTTCTTCGTAGATTTAGTCGCTTGTTTACTTAGCTAGGGATCCAGGATTCCATCTTGGCATTTTCAATCTGCTTACCCCTTCATCAGTAATGAAGGGTGGAATTTGTCAAAGCATCAGATATTTAGATGAGTCAAGACACCAAGGCTATGTGTGCTACAGTTTGATATTGAAAGAGTAAGCTTGTGTTGCTGTCTTGGCCTCATTTCCCTCATTACATGATGTAACCTGTTTATTAAGCCAGAGAAGGGTAAGAAATTGTTTACATTTGTAACAAATTCCTTGACCAAAGTGATAGATTTAAAACGATTTAGTCAAGAAAGATATGGTCGTAAATTATCCACCTCAGTTGATTTTCCTGTTACAGATTTAGATTTATCACCTTATGCTGCAGAACCAGGTTAGTTTTCAAAATATTTCATATGGTTTAATAATAGTTTTTATCAGCCTCAATATCCTTTGTATTCAGATCTTAGAGTCCTAAATAAATAGGAATGCAGTTTTCTGGTTATTTTCTTAACCAGCTGAAAGAGTTCAATAGTGCAGCTATCTGTACCACTTTTCAAAACCTATAACTTTAACAGTATCCACTTTCTTGCTTTGACAAGAGCTTAACCATAGCATTCTTAAAGGATATTTCTGATTTGAAATAACTGGAACACAGTAGTCTAGATGCGCTTCCACAGAGCTGTCGTATTTTAAATCTCAACCTCAACAGCTGTCCCTTATTTGTACCAAGTTTCAGGAGGCTGGCGGTGCCACTGCCAGTGAGACAAATATCTTATACACAATCAGTATTCCAATTGACAAACTTGTTTATGACATGAACCTAAGACTTAGGGATAGTGCTGAGTAACATAAATTTGAATGTCATCATTTCAGGTGGTAATAAAGCCAAATATAATTTGTATGCTGTTAGTAATCATTCTGGTGGAGTCCATTCAGGTCATTATACAGCTATCTGTAAACATCCTTATTCTTCAGATTGGAACTCTTTTAATGATACAAGGTAGGTTTTAATAATTATACAGCTATCTGTAAATATGGTAGGTTTTAATAATTATACAGCTATCTGTAAACATGGTAGGTTTTAATAATTATACAGCTATCTGTTAATCAGGGTAGGTTTTAATAATTATACAGCTATCTGTAAACAAGGTAGGTTTTAATAATTATACAGCTAGCTGTAAACAAGGTAGGTTTTAATAATTATACAGCTATCTGTAAACAAGGTAGGTTTTAATAATTATACAGCTATCTGTAAACATGGTAGGTTTTAATAATTATACAGCTATCTGTAAACATGGTAGGTTTTAATAATTATACAGCTATCTGTAAACAAGGTAGGTTTTAATAACTATACAGCTATCTGTAAACAAGGTAGGTTTTAATAATTATACAGCTAGCTGTAAACAAGGTAGGTTTTAATAATTATACAGCTATCTATAAACATGGTAGATTTTAATAATTATACAGCTATCTGTTAATCAAGGTAGGTCTTGATTATTGTACAGCTATCTGTAAACATGGTAGATTTTAATATTTATAGAGCTATCTGTTAATCAAGGTAGGTCTTGATTATTGTACAGCTATCTGTAAACACAATAGGTTTCAAAAATTATACAGCTATCTGTAAACAAGGCAGGTTTTAATCATTTATACAACTATAAATAATCATGGCAGGTTTTGATTATTATACAGCTATTTGTAAACAAAGTAGGTTTTAATAACTATACGGTTATCCAGGCAAGTTTTAATTATTGTACAACTATCTGTTAACAAAGTAGGTTTTAATAATTATACAGCTATCTATAATCTAGGTAGGTTTTGATTAGTATACAGCTAATTGTAAACAAAGTAGGTTTTAATAACTATACAGTTATCTGTAAACATGGCAGGTTTTAATAATTATACAGCTATCTGTAAACATGGTAGGTTTTAATAATTATACAGCTATCTATAATCTAGGTAGGTTTTGATTAGTATACAGCTAATTGTAAACAAAGTAGGTTTTAATAACTATACAGTTATCAAGGCAAGTTTTAATTATTGTACAACTATCTGTTAACAAAGTAGGTTTCAATAATTATACAGCTATCTATAATCTAGGTAGGTTTTAATTATTATACTGCTGCCTGTAATCAAGATAGGTTTTGATAATTATACAGCTATCTCTAAACATAGTAGGTTTTAGTAATTATAAGTTATTTGTGAATCATACAGCTATCTGTATATTTCTATTTATTGCAGTCTGTTATCTTAATTGTTATATTTTGTTATTTCAGGGTGTCACCAGCCAGGTCTAATCAAGCTGTATCCTCAGAAGCTTACTTGTTATTTTATGAACTTGCCAACCAGTCAGCCAAATTATAAACATATCAAAATATCTATCAATTCTTTTAAACATATCACTATCAAAAAAAAAAAAAGGATCAATCACAAATCATAACACAAAGAAATGTCTTTGATTGATGCTGAAGATGAATTATTTTTTTTTAATGAAGATATCATGATTTCCATCAATAATGATGAACATGTCACAAAATCCTTAAAAATTATCATAAAACAGAGCTGGCATTGTGATTTAGAGTGAAGATGAAAAATGAAAAAATTCTAATGAAGATATCACAATTTCCATCATCAATATCACAAAAGAGAAATTGCTTTGATTATATTGGTGAAGATGAAAAAGTTTTTTTTTTAATGAGGTATCATGATTTCCATAAGTAATTGATACAACGGAGCTGGCATTGTGAAGACCAGACATATCACAATATCCATCAAAAATTATTATACAACAGAGCTGGCATTGTGATTTAGAGTGAAGATGAAAAATGAAAAAATTCTAATGAAGATATCACAATTTCCATCATCAATATCACAAAAGAGAAATTGCTTTGATTATATTGGTGAAGATGAAAAAGTTTTTTAATGAGGTATCACGATTTCCATAAATAATTGATACAACAGAGCTGGCATTGTGAAGACCAGACATGTCACAATATCCATCAAAAATTATTATACAACAGAGCTGGCATTGTGATTTAGAGTGAAGATGAAAAATGAAAAAATTCTAATGAAGATATCACAATTTCCATCATCAATATCACAAAAGAGAAATTGCTTTGATTATATTGGTGAAGATGAAAAAGTTTTTTAATGAGGTATCACGATTTCCATAAATAATTGATACAACAGAGCTGGCATTGTGAAGACCAGACATGTCACAGTATCCATCAAAAATTATCATACAACAGAGCTGACATTGTGATTTATATTGAAGATCAAAATTATTGATGAACATGTCACAATATCCATCAAAAATTATCATACAACAGAGCTGACATTGAGATTTATAGTGAAGATCAAAATTATTGATGAACATGTCACAATATCCATCAAAAATTATCATACAACAGAGGTGACATTGAGATTTATAGTGAAGATTAAACTTATTGATGAACCAGTCACGATATCCATCAAAAATTATCATACAACAGAGCTGACATTGTGATTTATAGTGAAGATAATGGTACTGTTAAAATCCAATCAGATGTGAGAATTGTAGTATCAAGAAAAAAAATCGATTTTATTTAAATAAGAATAAGTAGAATCAAAAGTTAAAAACTCTTTAGGAACATTTACTGAATACAGTCATAAAGATATGCATTTAACTTTTTGAAATCTATAAACCAACCAATTTAAAGTGTTTCTGCTTGTTGGGATATTATGGCTCAATAATGATATCATTAGGGTTCAATTATCTTAACAACATTATGTATGCCATAATGCTGCCATATTAATGGTGTCATAATGAAATATTGATTGGTATCAGTATATTGATAGCATTATGGTGTCAAAGTAAACATGAGGTCAAATTCTATTGATAGCATTATGGTGTCAGTGAAAATGAGGTTGAATTTTATTGATATCATTATTGTGTCAAAGTAAACAGGAGGTCAAATTCTATTGATACCATGGTGTCAAAAGTAAGCATGAGGTCAATTCTATTGATAACATTATTTAATTTGACAAATTCTCAGTATAATGGCATACAAAATGTTCAAATTGATAGCATTATGAAGTCATAATGAATGTATGAAATGACAAATGATAGCATTATGGTGTCATAATGAATATAAAATTTTACAAATGACAGCTTTATGATGTCATAATGAATATATAATTTGACAAATATTCAGATTGAGTAAAATCAATTGATAGCATTATGATGTTGAATGACTACTGAATTTGACGAAATTATTATATTTTGCTGAACATGTAATAATGAAAATATTTAAGATTTGTTGGCTCTTCGATAAAGTAATCAAAAAAACAACAACCTGTGATTTTTAATTAAGATTATTGATTTGAAATTGGCTGTGAAATATCTATCATTTGTTAATTGTTTGTTTGTATTTTTAAACTTTCGTAAAATTTTGATATCACGGTAAATAACAACAGAAATGTTTGTGATACCATTTAAGAATTGTTATGAATTTTGATTGTGATGTCATAATGATGAATTGAACAGAAATTGTGATATCATTTAAGAACTCTTTTAAATTTTGATTGTGATGTCGTAATGATGAATTGAACAGAAATTGTGTTATCATTAATTTATTGTTATAAGTTTAGAGTGTTTAGGGATCCACATTTTACGAAGGTGACTTCGAACAGTTCATGTTATTGTGACTAAGGAGATGGGATAGAGAACCTGTTGGTTTGTTATTTTGTATTTTTAACAAAACTTGTTATTTTAGGTAAAAAATCAAAAGTTAATGTTCTTAAGTATTTACACTATCTAAATTTGTTAAGTTTTTTTTTTATGCAAGAGCAAAACAATAACGAAAAAAATTCTATATTTTTATAGCCTGTGATACCTAACAGTTGTATTAGCGCACACACCAGAGGAGTGCTTTTTACTACTATTTAATTCTGTAAATATATAAATTGTACATATGATAGTTTTATTTATTAAATGTTCATAAATAAGCAGCTAAGAAGAGGTCGTGAAAAACCTTGAAACATTGAAAAAAGCTGGTTCTCAGATGTAAGGAATAAATATTAAAATGTTTAAGTTGCAAAAAACTGTTCGAAAAATATTACTTTCGAAATACATGGACTGAAAGGGACCTAGTCGTATCGAATATTTGTCAGCTGATATAGAGCTGGATTTCAGTTATCTGTATCACTTTTCAAAATCAAATTCCATACTGTGTCCAAAGATATAATTTTAAGAATGTACAGCTTCAGTTAAGACAGTTGTCAGTTTCACTTGAACCTTCTTATGACCTTTTCTTTTTTGATAAGGCAGAATTGAAAAGGTGCTGCCTTGAAGTGACAACTCTTTAAATTGGAGCAGCTCATTAAAGTTAAATTGTACAAGAACTAGAACCTCAGATTTTGATTTCTAAAAGCAATATGCATAAAAGGAAATCCAGCTGTATTAGCTGACAAAGAAAATGCTTAGACAAACTTCACATTAAAAGTTTTTACATTATAACTAACTGACAGTGAATCATAAAGGTTTAAAGGAAACCCAAACAAACTTCCATTTCTGTAATAATCCTTTTAGATTGGCATCCCTTCTCAGTCCCTGACAGAACAGTTAAAGTTGCAAGCATTTGATTTTCTTTCTGTATTAAAATTTGCAATTGATATCAAAGATTTTGATTTTTTTTTCTTAAACAATGAATGAATGATTAAATACTCAGCTTTAAGTGCATGTTTATTTTAATTTTAGATTTAATTCTTGACTTATTTGATTTTAGTCATATTTACTCCATGTTTTTTCTGTTTTCTCCAAACATTTTTTTTGCCGCTGATCTTTGTCGCCAACACAAATCTTGAGTAAAACCTACCATGTCTGTGTGCCAGTGCTTTCACGACACTATTATCACCTTACCAACCAGTTTGTTGATGGCTTTTTTTTGCCCGCACTCATGACGAGACAAGATTCCACAGAGTGTCATCATCCAGTCAGATTCATTATCACGTATTATCGACATTGCAGAAAACGAAGGACTGGAGATTTTCTGTCTTCCACAGTCGTTCGTTGAAACTCTTGCTAAGACTCTAGTCTGTGACAAAAAATCAGCGACAAGAACCATCTATAGCCCCCAGCTTAAAGATGATAGCTTGAAATTTCAGGCAAGACTTCTTTAATCAAACTGACCTGTATTAGTGTTGGGCCTTTTTAAAATTTAGCTTTATTGTTTCAATAGGCTTTAAATGTTGATTTTACTGTTATATTATTGTTTAGTTTAGCGGGTATAATATGATCCGTCCATGTATTGTTCTTGTTGTTATTTAGGGCACGATATCAATCTATCTGAATTCTGTCTCTCCTAATTTTAATTCTCCTGAAATCTGGCAAGATGCTTTCTGTTATTTTGAATTTTAAAGGAATACTACCTCTTAAAATGGACGTAAAATTTAACGTCTCAATTCTTAAATAAATGTATATATTCATCAGTTGGACTTACCAGGTGCCATGATTAAAGAATAGAATCTCTATATAACACGATATATCCATTAAACTAAATGATTATTGAAGAAAGCTTTTAAGCATGTTTCAAAATTACTTAGTTTAATGAATGATTACTTGGTTTTATGAATTTATTTGATTAAAGAAGAATTCTGTTGTATAGTTATGACACCAAGCAAGTCCACTGATGAACAAAGATTCGTTTTGGCCATTTTTAAAAATTTTAATATTTTGGTCATCCTATAATGACCTTTTATTCAACAAGTTATCCCTCAATTATAAAACAGCGAAAAACTTTTTTTTCAGATTGTCAATATACCCTCTGTCATAGGTAATGTCCATTTTTGGACCAATTTTTGTGAAGACTTTTTTAACCATCAACAAACATATATCAATATCAGGATATTATAAAATTCAACAATTTAAAGTTCACCAAAAAAATAAAAGCACAGGCAGGCAAGAAGTGATATCCTTATATAATTTTGTTATTTATAACCATATTGTATTTGTTATTGTTATTTTTGTGTTGATGTATATTGTGATTTAGTTATTTACATATATTTATTGATCTGATATTTTAATCTGCTTTAATGTTGTTAGCAAAGAAGATAGGATCTTGTTATTAAACCTATATCCGTTATTGACTTAGATTGCAGGTATGCTGATTTCAGTCCTTGTGTTTTATAAAGGCTGCATGAGCCAGTTCAAGATCTAAAACCTTTGATCCACCAAGCCCATTTTCTCATTACTGATATATTTTAGACTCATTACAGGGAAAGATTCGCCATCCCTTTGACCAATTGTATCTAAGTCTCTTTTTAACTAATCTAATCGGTAATAATGTTCACAGCTCACTGAGGAAAATGGAGACTTCAAATCCTTATGTGTCCAGAATTATCTGCGTTTTAAAATTTTAAATAACTGATCATTTTTTGAGACTCTGCCAAATATAGAAAATAGAAAGTGAAATTCCTAGTTTGAGGTATTTTTGAAGTTATGTGATTTTCGTACATTTCTAGTACTTCTGAAGAAAATTTACATAAAAATGGCTAACCTGTTTCTTTGAAAATATATTTCAATAATTAATAATAATTGCTGAATTTACAATTTTCTTAGCTCTATGTGTTACTTTAAGACTAAATTGAATAAAAGATTAGCACAAATATTTTTGATGTGAAAGTTGGCCTGCTGGTCTTAGTTGCCATCTTAATTATGTTTTTTATTTGTTTTCTTAGGCATTTATATAACAAATTTCTGAGAAAAAATTTTAATGTAACTGAAAAAACAATCTGAATTTATCTGAAATTTCCTAATTTTTAACATGGTGTCCTAGATGCAACATTAATATTGCTCTGTGGCCATGATTACGTAGAATTTTCTCTATAAAGTGTTTTAGTTTGATCAAAAATATTGAATTGCAGCATAATAGCAATTATAGATAAATTGTTATTGTTGATTTGTAAATTGTAATATAATGATTGTAAATTATGCCATATTGTAAATAAGTTTGTATTTAGAAATAGAGTAGATGTTTGAACTTGAATACTTGTTTTAAATTCCAAAATGCCCTCTGATTTACTAGCTTTTATCTTTACTTAAGCCACTGCAGTTAGGGTCTTAAGACAGCCCTTTGTTTGACAACACCGCCAGCCAATCAAATTCCTGCCCTCTCCAATGCAGGGATTTTATATCTGGATTGGGAGTGCATTCAAGCAAAGATTTAAAATACTCATTCAGATATTATGCAAAATATCAACCAATAAGCATATACCTTTATTATTGAGGTAGTGTTTAAAGGGACAGATGCACCATTATTTTTAACTAATCATACTTCAGTCTCAGAAACAGGAATTTTTTAGCTAAGCCAATCAGCAATAGTGTTCAAAGCTCATCGTTGAAAATCCATGTATTCAGAATTATCCACACTTGAAAGTTAAAAAGATGAGTCGTCTGTTGTTTTCGGACACTGCCATATATAGAAAAATCATATAAAAATAGGAAAAGAAATTCCTAGTTCGAGATATCTTGAAGGAATTATGCCATTTTCGTACATTTCTAGTATTCCTGAAAACTGTTTACATATATTCAAGACTCTCAAAATGGAGCATCTATCTCTTTAAGGTAAATTCAATAAAGGTTCGGTATTTTAATTCAAGAGTTGGACAATAAACGAAACAATACTATAAAATGACCGAAATGAAAACCAGATGATATCTTATATATTAAATCTTAATAATATAAAAAATGTTGTACAAAATAATATAATCTGCTTTGTCTTTTTGACAATTTGAGGGAGAAAGTTGACAAAATATTGCAGGAACAAAAAATACTCCAATTATACCAGCAAAGTTCAAGTAGAAAGTTTACAAGCTTTTGAACTGTCATTTAACCATCCTTAAGTTACATAATACAGACGGTGTCACTTGAAATTTTGAAAGCAAACTCCAAAATTTAAAGGGAGTGTAAGGTTTTCGGAATTGTGTATCAGGGACACAGATAAAACCAATTTGCACCACACCCGATTTCAGTCTGATGTGTGTGGTTCCAGCATTTCCAAAAAATATAAGATTGTTATGACGTCACTAATTGCAAAATATGCTTTATCACATAGTGACGTCATATAACACTTAGTTTTATTGGAATTGCAGGAACCACAGGTCTGATTGAAAATTGGAATGGTGGATATTGATGCTATCAGTGTCTCTGAAACACATAAAATTTTTAGAAAACTTTTTTACTATCCCTCAATTGGTGGTTGTATATCATGGCATCAACACAAGAGATAAAATTAGTTTAAGAAGGCTCTGTAGATGTTGGTTTAGGGTATAGTGGCCACATTGGAGGAACTTTACTCACAACTGGCTTCATTTTTTCTCTCAATTTCACAAATAATCTTTTAAATTGCAGACCATCTCCCTGTCGAATAAAAAAGAAATAGTTATGAACAGATGATATTGTGGACATCTGGCCACCTATTCTAGAAACGATCTTAGCACTAGGATGTCCTAGGTTAGTATCTTCTAACATTGATTCTAGGACATCTTAGCACTGAATACTAATATCACCTGAATACGTGGCCTGAAATTTTCATTACACTCATTATTCCAGAGTTCTGTTACTATGTAAGTATCATAAATTAATAATTTACCACTGTGTATTATCATCCTAAAGTAGGACCTTCATCATCATATCATGAATATGGGTTTTGACATGGTCTTATTAACCCATATTCAACTAAGACCACTATACATCGTGGAAATGAGGTTGGCGCTATTTGAATCTGACCAATCAGATCAGTAGAACGAAAATGAGGTTACATAAACAAAACACAACAACCTATACAGTAGAGCCAATTTTGATAGGACAATATTTAGCTATGAACATTTTTCCAACTTGTATTACCACGGTCTCGAAGAAGTATGACGAATAGGGGTGTGGTTTGGACATGGTGGACCTTCATTAAATCAATTAACTGTATATAGAATAATCCTTCATTCAATTGCAAATTTATTTAATCTGTTATAAACTCTGAAATACCAGTTACAACAAAGAGATAAGCAATAAAAAATATTTTCAGGTTACCTTTGAGAGTCTGAAGTCCACCAAAAGATTTTCTCCCATATCTATTAGAGTTGTTTTAAAGACTAACTTAGCACCTCGTTTATCTGTTGTTTCTACAGTTAACTGAAAATAAAGTTTTTGATTGTAATGACCAGGATCTGTGAATATTCTGTTGAGCGAAGTTGTGTACATATATTTGTGCATTTCCGGGAAGATTATTTTAAAGGGACAGGTTCACCTTCCGTTTGACCAATCGTACCTTAGTCTCTAGAGTGGTTACGAGCAATTGTTGACAGACGAATGCCCCCATCGGTGTATAAGGGAGCCGCGGTGGCTCAGTGAGTTAGACGCTTGCTCGCTAACCTGAATGTCCAGGGTTCAATCCCGGCATAGGTCAAGATAATACCCTTGCATTTTTCAACCTGGTTTCCCCCAGTCAGTGATGCAAGTAAGAGAGGCTGACATGGAAAAAGGGTCTAGACATTCGGATGGGACAATAAACCGAGTCCCCATGTGCTACAGACTGTGCACGTTAAAGATCCCTCGCTGTCTTGGCAAAATTTTCTTCATTGCACCCTGCATGGCGTTGCCCGTCTTCATTAGCCCACATGGTGCAGAAAAGTAGGCTTAAAACTCCATTCATTTCATTTCATTTCCCATAGGGCGTATAAAAAGCATTTTTCTGGTCCTGTATGCTCCATTAAAGGTTAAAGATTCCTCCCAACAGGAGTTGATTGTACCCACATTCAATAAGCTTATAGAGCAGTAAGTAAGCCAATAACTAGTTTCTATCATCTGATATCAGCATTTTTCAGATTACTTTTCACTAAGATAATTTAAGTTAATTCTGAATGACATGCAACTTACATTATTAGCACCATTTTTCCTCCATTTTTCAAAATTGAGGCTTTCGAATGTTTTATTTAGTTCTTCAATAGTTTCTTCATGATTGGTTTTCACAAAAAATCTTGTCATTCTTCTTACGAGTTTCTGCATGGGTGTCTAGAAATACAAATTGATGTACCAAATACACAAAATAAGCTATGAAATTGATGCCGATCATAATCTATCATTTACAAAATGGCCGATCGTCAATATTGACTGGGGAATCTTGTCACTGTGTTTAATTCGCACCCTCAGTTTGGCAAACCGAAAAAACTGCAAATATACAGAAGTTGAAAAACCAAGTTGCAATATGATATCAAGATTCAAAAAGAAAGATGGCTGTTGCTTTGAAAGTCTATCCTCCTGAGACACATGCATACCAAAATACCATTACACAGTAAGCCATAGCTACAAAATCTAATATGGATTCCTAAATCTCGAATTTTTTTACTGTTCCATTTTTATGCCAGATTGGAGAAATTCATCTTTTCTGCCTCTGGCAAACTCCCACCCAAAAGGGGCTTCAACCCTTCCGTCCCTGCCTCAAGAGACACCTCTCATTTTTTGCCTAACCCCTCAGGCATTTTCTAAGACCAAAAATTCTATTTTCTATTCCAACCTCTGATAGCTAATTGGACTGATGTCGGCTGGTGTAATGGGGACTTTCCACATCTCCGCAGGTTTTAAACCTATTTAGATACCTTGGATCTGCAAAACCGAGATATATTTGGAAAGATGAATATTTTTGTAGTTCAGTCATACTATCATTTTCTCCCTACAACATTTTTGGCACATCTCTGGTTCCATCAAAGTAAAACAAAAACATCGATCATTCAAAACTGCTTGCCCAGCCAAAGTTCAAAGGTCACAGAGTCACTAACAAAACAAAAGTTTTGGTGATGCCGAACACAAATTTTACATCAGAAAGGTAATTTTATATTATGTTATAAAAAACGCATCTTTGGAGGTGTGGAAAGTCTCCATCAAACAGGGCCTCTGACTCCACTCCAGCTAACAACTGTCAAAATATCCATCAGAGGATGGAAAAAAGGCAGATTTTTCGAACAAGCATTTTCTTGGGGCAAAACATGACAAATTTACCTGTGAAGCTCCTGGGGTGCCTTGAAACTGACTTCCTAGTAACATATTGTCTGTTTTGATTGGTTGAGAGAAACTAATCATGATATCAGCTATATCTTTACTTGTCTTGGTGTCAGTTCTAGGTTCTGGTTGACTATCAGTCTCCATTCTTCTGGGTTCTGGTTGTGAACAGGAGACATTGTTCCTGCAAATGAATATTTCATAAATCAGCTTTGGTTGAGGGGAGCAATAAGTGTTCATGGGATTTTAAACCCCTTCAACCCTAGCGGCCGGTTTACCGGACACACACTAACGCCATATATACCCGAGCAACCGGTATACCGGCCGTTACTAAGTGACGTCATACAATGTTAACATCATACGCTTTTACTTTTATTACTTGGAGTTCAGGATATATGACGTTATATTTTATTTACACTCAGGGTTCAAAAGGTTAAAAAAGACAATTTTAACTTTTTATTTTCAAAAAAAATTTCAAGTTCATCCTATCCATCTTACTGAATATAAACTACCATTAGACTTGGAATTACTGAAAAAAATAGTACTTGACAGGCACCATGTAAATTTTAACAAGTAAATGTTATTACTTTCGTTTTTACTGTCAAATTTGTGAAAAATTCAATACAAATTCAAGAGAATGTTTAAAAGGAATCTTTCAAGACTTGGCAATCCCTAAATTCTGTATCAATATTGTTTACTAAGCAAAAGTATAAAAATTTTATTTTTTAAATCACCTTTTTGTTAAGCTTGCAGAAGTAGAAGTCCTATACAATATTTCCTTGGTAAACAACCGATACATTTTCAACAAATATCCCATATAATTAAATCTTGGCATTTATTTTCAGAAAAGCTAAAATTGCTCACTTAATTAAGATATAAGCTAGCTTGGTATTGATATAATCAACACTTTAAAATAATTGATAATCTTCTAATATCAATTGAAGATTAACAGTATACTGGTTGTAAATACATATCAGAGGTTGAAGGATTAAACTAAGAATTATTTAGGTTGAAAACCTTATTCAAAATAAAGAAAAAAAACATAAAAAAGGTTCAGATACCCTTTCTTTAGGTTTAGAGAGTTGACTTACTTTGTCAATACCAAATTTCCAAATCCTATCAAGGCTTGAATATCTGAAACACGCTTTAGCATATATATTTTCTTGTTAACTTCTCTTTAATGTTCAGTGAGTTCACTTACTTTAGTCTAATTTTGGAAAATAACCCTGATTATTATCTGAAGAATGGCTATAGTCTCTACAACCTACAGATTGTAGTTTGCAGGTCTAGGGATTGTGCTACAGAATGTGTTCTGGTACCAAAAATGAGCAAAGATTCCATCAAAAAAATCCCTGATTTTGTGGGAACAGAAAAGTTTTTTTGTGGCTTCAAATAAGCCAATTTGTGACTGAAAATACAAGCAATACCAACCTTGGAGAGCCTGTACCAGTAGGACTCAGTTCCATACGAGAACACTGTCGTTTAAATGGTCCTGTACCTATAGGAGAATCTGATGGTGAACTTGATGGATATCTAGAAAAGCCAGCTGAAAAAAAAACCCACAAAACCAAATCATTCAAAATTCATTGCTTACTTGATTCTGACATTTGGGAGGAAATGAAATGAAATTAACGGAGTTTTACGTCCTACTTTTCTGCACCATGTGGGCTAATGAGAACAGGCAACGCCATGCAGGGTGCAATGAAGGAAATTTTCCCAGGACAGTGCCTGTTTTTTTTTTATTTCCAACTGTTGAGGGATCTTTAAGATGCACAGCCTGTAGCACATGGGGCACACATCCGAATGACTAGAAGCTTTTTCCATGTCAGTCCTTCTTAACTGCATCACTGACAAGGGGAAACCGGGTTGAAAAATCTGAAGGTATTATCTCGACCTATGCTGGGATTGAACCCTGGACCTTCAGGTAAGCGAGCAAGCGTCTAAATCACTGAGCCACCGCGGCTCCCTATAGCTTAGTAGAAGTACTGGAAATGCAAAAAAATTGCATAATCCCTCAAAATATACTTCAAACTAGAAATTTCACTGTCTATTCCTATATATGTCTTTTCAATATATGACAGAGTAACAAGACAAGACGAGTTGTCATTTTAACTTTCAAACACCAATATTTCTGGACACACATGGATTTGAAGGCTCAACTATTGACAGTGAGCTGATTTTCTACGCTAAAAAAATCATTTTTCTGAGACAAACATATGGTGAACCTATCCCTTTAAGTCAAATTGATCAAGTTTTATGTTGAAAAATTCTTTACCTTTTTTCTTGTGGAATGTTTTATTGAACCACTGATGTTTTTTTATTTGTTCTAATGTATAACGTTTTTTATAATTTTCTAATAATACTTTTCTTAACAATGCTGAAAAAAAATTGGAACTCATATCAAATTAACCATGGTCTTTATGTACTTTAAGGTTAAAGTTACTTTCTTTAATCAGAGAAAAAACACGCCAAATATTGCACTATAGAGACATTTTTCTACATGGAAATTCTAGGTATAACTTACAAAGAGCTAGGTTATCTATTATGTAAATTCTAGGTATAACTTACAAAGAGCTAGGTTATCTATTATGTAGATTCTATTATCTAGATTCTAATTAAAACCTACAAAGAGCTTGGTTATCTATTATGTAAATTCTAATTAAAACCTACAAAGAGCTAGGTTATCTATTATGTAGATTCTAATTAAAACTTAGAAAGAGCTAGGTTATCTATTATGTAAATTCTAAATAAAACCTACAAAGAGCTAGGTTATCTATTATGTAAATTCTAAATAAAACCTACAAAGAGCTAGGTTATCTATTATGCTAATTCTAAATAAAACCTACAAAGAGCTAGGTTATCTATTATGTAAATTCTAGGTATAACTTACAAAGAGCTAGGTTATCTATTATGTAAATTCTATTATCTAGATTCTAAATAAAACCTACAAAGAGCTAGGTTATCTATTATGCTAATTCTAAATAAAACCTACAAAGAGCTAGGTTATCTATTATGTAAATTCTAATTAAAACCTACAAAGAGCTAGGTTATCTATTATGTAAATTCTAATTAAAACCTACAAAGAGCTAGGTTATCTATTATGTAAATTCTAGGTAAAACTTACAAAGAGTTAGGTTATCTATTATGTAAATTCTAATTAAAACCTCAAAGAGCTAGGTTATCTATTATGTAAATTCTAATTAAAACCTACAAAGAGCTAGGTTATCTATTATGTAAATTCTAATTAAAACCTACAAAGAGCTAGGTTATCTATTATGTAAATTCTAATTAAAACCTACAAAGAGCTAGGTTATCTATTATGTAAATTCTAATTAAAACCTACAAAGAGCTAGGTTATCTATTATGTAAATTCTAGGTATAACTTACAAAGAGCTAGGTTATCTATCATGTAAATTCTAATTAAAACTTACAAAGAGCTGTAGGTTATCTATTATGTAAATTCTAATTAAAACTTACAAAGAGCTGTAGGTTATCTATTATGAAAATTCTAGGTATAACTTACAAAGAGCTAGGTTATCTATTATGTAAATTCTAATTGAAACTGACAAAGGGCTGTAGGTTATCTATTATGAAAATTCTAGGTATAACTTACAAAGAGCTAGGTTATCTATTATAAAAATTCAAAAAAGAGCTAGGTTATCTTTTATGAAAATTCTAATTAAAACCTACAAAGAGCTAGGTTAACTATAACACATATTCTACAAAGAGCTAGGTAATCTATTATGAAAATTCTACAAAAAGCTAGGCCATCTTTTAAAACAATTCTAGGTATAACGTACAAAAGGCAAGGTTATCTATTATGTAAATTAAAATTAAAACCTACAAAGAGCTAGGTTATCTATTATGTAAATTAAAATCAAAACCTACAAAGAGCAAGGTTATCTATTATGTAAATTAAAATCAAAACCTACAAAGAGCTAGGTTATCTATTATGTAAATTAAAATCAAAACCTACAAAGAGCAAGGTTATCTATTATGTAAATTAAAATTAAAACCTACAAAGAGCTAGGTTATCTATTATGTAAATTAAAATCAAAACCTACAAAGAGCAAGGTTATCTATTATGTAAATTAAAATTGAAACCTACAAAGAGCCAGGTAATCTAATTATGTAAATTCTAATCAAAACCTACAAAGAGCTAGGTTATCTATTATGTAAATTCTAGGTATAACTTACAAAGAGCTAGGTTATCTATTATGTAAATTCTAATTAAAACTTACAAAGAGCTGTAGGTTATCTATTATGTAAATTCTAATTAAAACTTACAAAGAGCTAGGTTATCTATTATAAAAATTCAACAAAGAGCTAGGTTATCTTTTATGAAAATTCTAATTAAAACCTACAAAGAGCTAGGTTAACTATAACACATATTCTACAAAGAGCTAGGTAATCTATTATGAAAATTCTACAAAAAGCTAGGCTATCTTTTAAAATAATTCTAGGTATAACGTACAAAAGGCAAGGTTATCTATTATGTAAATTAAAATTAAAACCTACAAAGAGCTAGGTTATCTATTATGTAAATTAAAATCAAAACCTACAAAGAGCTAGGTTATGTATTATGTAAAACAAAAAGAAAAAAGGGGGGGTGTCCAAGTTTAGATTTTGTCATTGATCCCGTGTGGTTGGAAGCTTTTAAGTCTAATTATCCAGTGAAGTTCAACGGAGCGCCGGTTGGCTGTGGATTGTGTGAGGTCCGGGTTGGTCCCGAGTTGTTTAATGATTTGATAGTCGAGGTTTCGACTCGAGTGTCTCGGTAGGCGGAAGTGAGAGGCGTCTGGAGTGTCCCTCTTGTGGGTGATATCAGCGAAGTGTTCTTTCAGCCTAATGCGGAACATTCTTTTCGTCTCGCCAACATATTGTTTGTGACATAAATTGCATGTGAGGAGGTAAATGAGGTTTCTACTTGTGCAGGTCCAGGTTTTGTTGGAGTTGTAAGTTTTCCCAGTGGTGGTGGAACAAAACGTTTTTTTGAGCTTAAGCATGTTGCAATAAGTGCAGTTGTAGATGTTACAATCTGTATCAAGGTAGTTGTAAGTTTTCCCACTTGCTACAAAGAGCTAGGTTATCTATTATGTAAATTAAAATTAAAACCTACAAAGAGCAAGGTTATCTATTATGTAAATTAAAATTAAAACCTACAAAGAGCCAGGTAATCTAATTATGTAAATTCTAATCAAAACCTACAAAGAGCTAGGTTATCTATTATGAAAATCTACAAACAGCTAGGTTATCTAATATCTATTATAAAATTTTTAGGTATAACTTACAAAGAGCTAGGTTATCTATTTTGCACCAAGGTGATTGTGTTATTTTACAATCTTTCCAATCACAATATTCTTTACAATCATATGTGGGTTGATCCCATGGTAGTTCTGAAATAATGGTGTCAAAAAATGTTATATTCTTCCAACATGGCAATGAAAAAAGTGAATAGATTTCTTGGAAAAATTTCTCCTGTCTACATGGATGTGTGAATACAATGTTTTGTGACACATTGACTAAGATTCACCTATGGCAATTTTTGAATTTGTAATGATGTCTGGTCACATATGAAAACATGCTAATCTGTATCATCAAGTATTGATACACAACCATGTTACAAAATACACATATTGTAGCATTTTGTATTGCAATTCAAATAACAAAAGAGTCATTAAACTTTCATGCCATTTTCTACAAGCTTTTATTTTCAATATAACCACTTCAGGTAGAGTCTAACGACAGCCCTCCAAAACGGTCATCAAATTTTTACCTAACTTGAATTTCTACCCTCTCCAGCACTGGCATTTTGTGACACGGTGTTTATCAGGTTAGTTCGAAAGGTTAATTTGACGAATGTTCAAGAGGGCTGTCGTTAGACACTAACTGAAGTGGCTATGTTAAAAATAAAAGCTAATAAAAAGATAGCTTGCCAGGCAAGGTAACATACGCCCACTGGCAGCTGTCAGAAATGATTAAACAGTCTTTAGTGACTACAGGGTTGCACAATATAGCTAATAGAGTGAAACGTCAAGTCAGACACGATATTTCGGTGAAATATTATCCAATCATCACGAAAATCGATAGGGATCATCTTCATAATGACATTGACACACAAAATAAAAATCAAAAGAATTTGTAAAAAATTGTAGTCTGTAGAGTGAGCACGAGTTGCACAATATAGCTAATAGAGAAAAACGTCAAGTCAGACACGATATTTCGGTGAAAAATTATCCGATCATCATGAAAATCAATAGGGATCATCTTCATAACAACATTGACATACAAAATAAAAATCAAAAGAATCCATAAAGAACTGTAGCCTGTAGAGTGAGCATGAGCCAAATGTGAACGGATGGACCGACGGGGTGATTACATATGCCCATCTTACGTGTGGGCGTATAAAAAAAACAGGACGAAAGTTTGGTTTAATTTTAATTAAACTGTTGTAGACTCCTACCTCCAGCCAGCAGAGCAACTAATATAATAGCACAAGACCAAACATCTGATGGTTCAGCATGGTATGGTTTCTTACTTAAAACTTCAGGTGCTATATACGGTACTGTACCACAACATGTCTCTAATAATCTTTCTGAGCCTTTAAATCTAAATACTGTCGCAAAACCTAAATCTGATATCAATAAGTTATCTGAAATACAAACATAAATACTGTCACAAAACCTACATCTGATATCAATAAGTTATCTGAAATACAAACATAAATACTGTCACAAAACCTACATCTGATATCAATAAGTTATCTGAAATACAAACATAAATACTGTCACAAAACCTACATCTGATATCAATAAGTTATCTGAAATACAAACATAAATACTGTCACAAACCCTACATCTGATATCAATAAGTTATCTGAAATACAAACATAAATACTGTCACAAAACCTACATCTGATATCAATAAGTTATCTGAAATACAAACATAAATACTGTCACAAAACCTACATCTGATATCAATAAGTTATCTGAAATACAAACATAAATACTGTCACAAAACCTACATCTGATATCAATAAGTTATCTGAAATACAAACATAAATACTGTCACAAAACCTACATCTGATATCAATAAGTTATCTGAAATACAAACATAAATACTGTCACAAAACCTACATCTGATATCAATAAGTTATCTGAAATACAAACATAAATACTGTCACAAAACCTACATCTGATATCAATAAGTTATCTGAAATACAAACATAAATACTGTCACAAAACCTACATCTGATATCAATAAGTTATCTGAAATACAAACATAAATACTGTCACAAAACCTACATCTGATATCAATAAGTTATCTGAAATACAAACATAAATACTGTCACAAAACCTACATCTGATATCAATAAGTTATCTGAAATACAAACATAAATACTGTCACAAAACCTACATCTGATATCAATAAGTTATCTGAAATACAAACATAAATACTGTCACAAAACCTACATCTGATATCAATAAGTTACCTGAAATACAAACAACACAAATGTTAAAAAATATTCTGTACTAAAGGATAAAGATGTTTTACAAACATGAATAACATAGCTTGCCAGACAAGGGAAAATATATTAATTGTCTTCAAAAGTGACTATGCTTCTTCTGAACTAGTCTCTGTCATCAAGACGGATAGTGTCTAATGGCAAGTAATCTACATACAAGTCTCACATGAACTGTTTACAACAGAAACAAAATGGCAACTTCAAAAAGTTCTTTCAATACTACATATTTGATATTTACCATCAGCAATTGTTTAATATTTACTTCATGCTTAAAATTGATAGAAGAAGTCAAAGTTATAATAACTTTAAACTTACTGATATGATCATGATATATATGATACTGTAGGTCTCACATTCGTACATATCCAACAGAAAAATAAATAATGAAATTTACGTTAACAGCTTAGTCTGATATTTTGAGGACCTGTTTTTTAGTTTAAACTTAAAGGGACATTCCGCTTTTTTGTAGGTTTAAAATTTGTTTTGCTCAAATTTGTGAAAACTATACACCAAAATCTAGAGAAATGTGTCCATTAACGTATTTGAAAGTTTTAACTTAAAAATTCCAGCTGTTAATTTTAAAACGCAAAAAATATTTAAAAACATTACGTAAGATTTTTATGTTTGTTATGTTTTTTGCAAGCTGTTAGAAAACTACTGTATGGATCTGATTAAAATAAATGCCTAATTGTAGAGAAATATGTCTCCTATGTTTTCTAAAGATTTCAACAAAATATAACAAGCCATTATAAAGCCAATCACCGAAACTAGGTCAAACTGCTTAATTAACAATTAGTACTCTCTGTTTTTAATTAACCCTTTTGAAATAAATGCAGTTTAATCAAGAAGATACATAGATAGAAATAGCATATTTTAGAAATATTTTCAGGTATAATTCACGACGCTTTTTGATAATGAAAACTTTTTACAAAAAAGCGGAATGTCCCTTTCATCTATTGTAAAATAAACTTTACCATTATCATCCAGTAGAAGATTTTCAGGTTTCAGATCTCTGTGAGTTACTCCCCTTGAGTGTAAATACTCCTAAAATTAACATATCAAATTCTGAATTTTAAGTCGTTTGGCATTGAGGCAATAAGTCACGTTATTTTAGGCTGGGGCAACACAATCGATTTTGGTCGTCGATTTTTATCACAACGCCTTGTCTTGGAAGCGTGGGCACACAGGAGATTTTACTCAAGACTTGTGTCATCAGCAACAAAAATTCGCGACCCAAAACCGTTTGTGTGCCCTAAGAGTTATAAGACATGTACAGAAATCTCAAATATGCAACGTTTAGACCAACTACCTCCATCAAATATTTTTATATAGTAAAACAAAATGAAAAGAAAACAGCACAATAGTTCCTACTCACCACTCCAGCTATCAGCTGTTTAAAATATCTATTAGCATCAAGTTGACTCATTCCAACATCAGGCTCTACAATTTACAAAACCAGCAAATCATATAAACTGTATGCTTGCTCAGGGTTTAAAGGGACAGATGCGCCATTTTGGGGGGATGATTTGAGGGTTGAATATATGTAAATAGTCTCCAGAAGTACTAGAAATGTATAAAAATTGCATAATTCCTTTAAAAATATCTCAAACTAGGAATTTCTTTTCCTATTACTATAGACGTCTTTTCTATATATAACTTGTCTTTTTAACTTTCAAACGCCAATAATTCTTTTCACATGGATTTGGACACTCAAATATGATGGTGAACTGTGAACACTATTACTGATTAGCTTCGCTATAAAATGCCCGTTTCTGAGACTAAGGTACGATTGGTCAAAAAATTTACACACGTTCCTTTAATTGAAGTGGTATCGGATTGCAGTATGCAATTATCAATTACCCCTTTTGCCAAAATTAAAATTTATCAGGACGATCTGCAAGGCAATCAAATTCAATATTTTTGGTGCCCCCCAGGGGTTGCCTGTACTCATATGTTATTCAAAAAAATTTTGTGCATGGTTTCACATTTACAAAACAATCCGTAAATGGGTTATGTGCAAGCGTGTTGATTGGCTGCACTTACCAATTCTATCAAACAACTCTCCACCACTGGCATATTCTAGAAAAATATAATGAGCATCGTTCTCTAAACGTGATCCATAAAATTTAATGACTGATGGATGATTTAACATACGATGAATACAGATCTACAAAAAATATTAATTTTAATTAATAACAAAATCATATATCTATCCAAAAACATTTAATCATCAAAATTTTGACATGGTTTGACAATAATGACCATCTGCATTGTGAATTACCAAAATTGATTTTTTTATCTTGGATCAAATCCTATCTACTCTCTGACTACAATGATTTCTGAATTGAATTTTGCCAATCATTTTCATATGAATAGAAATATCAACTAAAAAATGCTACTGAGAGTTTTACTTTGTCTTTGGGTTGATGAAAATTTTAACTACTGGAAAAGTTGTTTTCATAGTTGCATGAACAAACAAATGCCAGGTAGTTTTTTTAAAGATTAGGAAAATAGAATAAAAACCAAATAGAGAAGCAATTAGCAATCAAAATTAGAATAAACTTTCATTTTTAATATAGCCACTTCAGTTAAGGTCTAACAACAGCCCAACAACGTTCGTCAAATTAACCTTTTGGCCTAACCTGATGAACACCGCGTCAAAAATATCAGCGCTAGAGAGGGTAGAAATTTGACTGGTCATCTAGTGTTGCTATTTCATGTTAATTAAGCTTATTTCAAAATTATGTTTACTATCGAAGTCATGACAATTAAAAATAAAAAATTTGTTCACCTCTTTTTTAACACTCTCTGCTATATTGGGGTATTTATTCAAATTTACTATTTTAACAGCTACGGCTTCTTGTGTCTCTCTTTCTACCACTAATTTCACTCTGAAAGAAAATTTAAACTTTAAGGGATGTTGCATAATATTTTTTGTAGAAATCACTTTAAAAAATTTTGTTTACACATGTTCCAAAATTCATTGATTGGAAATATTGAAATCATAAATTTTCACCTAATTTATACAGGCCTACTTTGCATTTTAGTGTACGTATTCTTACAAAGGGATTGTCAATGGAACTTTTAGGGTGATGTTCCTTAAAATCATGGTGACATTAAAGCAAACCATTTCAGGGAGGGCTCATTGATGCCATGGGCTCGTAGATTAAAGATTTGTTTAACAAACAAGGCCATATGATTGTCATATGATGAATAACTGTGGGATAGCAAAACCTAAAGTATAGAAACATCACAGCTTCATTGAGAAACAGATCCAACATGACATGCATTAATTGGTTAAAAATAAAGTCATAAGAACGGGACTAGTAGAAGACTTGTTAGATTACAATGGAGACAAAAATATAAGAAAATGAAAGAAACAAAACTGTAAACTAATTTTAGTAAAATTGACCCTAAACTTACTCTCCATAAGCTCCTTCACCCAGAGTCTGCACCAAATCCCACCCCTCTACAAATGGTGTTACTGAGGTCATCTTCCTAATTCACCTGTTCTGTTTATATCATTATTACCATGGTTTCAACTATCTACATCAAGCCTGAAATAAACATGAAGTGAGGTCCACTATTACTTATTAGCCCCTTTCTTAACCCACACACTTTGAATCTATACAAGGTCACCAGAGCTGACAAGTAAAGTTTGTTTCGTCACACACTAGTCCCTACTTGTTACCTAGGCCAGTGCTTCTGTAAGCGAGTTTCTCTTATAAAACCTTATACTAGAATCTATTCCACAAAACTAAACTTACATAGAGACTATCATCTCAGAGAGTGTAAACCTATACTAATTAACATTTATACCTTGGTCCTTACTTCGAGTTGAAGAATTGATTGCAGTTACGATTTTTTTTACATAGCTTTACATAACAAGACAGGTCATCTTCTTGGGTGTCGGTTTGAAAAACAAGGTTTTTACATAGCTTAACATCACAATGTCAAGCTAAAACGAACTCTGTGATAAGGAGTTTGTAAATTGACACGTCATAAGCTTGACATTCATTGTGCAGAAGAAGGTTTCTTAGACTTAAGGTGTCAGTTCAATGCCATGCCCTGACCTATAGGGGGTGCCCCTACTGAATGCTGGTCCTGACAGATCATATCTATAGTCATGGATCCCTGTCCTCACTCAATATCACTTTCAGTTTCAGACCCAGACCCATCAAATATGTCATAAACGTTGACACAGTTGACTGAGTTGTCAGAAGACTGAGAAATGAACCTGAGTCACTCACAGTCACAGAGTCAAACCTTAGGTAGATCTAAGTACTAAAAAATTCAAGAAAAAGACAACGTATTCAAAGTGAGTCACTGTGCCTGTACAATTTTATAAATGGTTTCAGATAGACCTTGTTACCAACATTTTATGTTAACTTTGCAAATTATCTCATTTCATTTTCAGCGCCTTATGTGATGATCACGTGACGTTTGTTTTGATGGATATCTTTAAAAAACCTAAAAAAATACAAAAGGTAAACGAATACAGACTCATTAGCATTGGAGTCAGTAGAGGCTTACATAACATTGAAATAAAACAACAAAAATGGTTTATGGTCCTTTGATTTAATTTCAACGATTTAAAACTCTTTCCAGACCCAGATTGATGTTTTTATAATCTGGCATTACTTCGTGTGCTGGAAATATTAATCTGGCAACAGTGCATCCAATTTATTTCCGGTGGTGATGTTTACAAATCCATCACTAAAGCGAAAAAATAAGAACTAATGCAGACGACATGTTTCTGACACGCTAACCTTGAAAAAAATATTGAATAATCTTTCTATATAATTCTGACAAGTTTGTCAATCACCCTCATCACCATGTCTTTTCTTGTAGATCTTGTAATCATGTGCATTTCGCAGGTTAGTATGGGCTCTCCTCTGGCTCTCCTCACTCAGCAGACCTTAGACTAAAAAGAGTAGTTTCACACAATCTGGCAGTAGTTTTACCATCCATTACTGTAGCACTGTGACAAACAGTCACTGTCTCTTTGCCTTGAGTAAAATGCAATTAGGGATTGTATAGACCGACACACACACTCTGCTGTTCATTTGTCAGCAGTCAGGGATGTAATTATTTGGGTTAAGGTTAGGATTTGCAACTGTGTTTAAAAACGTGTAATTTTTTTTCGGGTTATGTTAAGGGTTTGTGACAGTTTGACTACATTAGAAGCATGTGGTATTGTTTACATCCTGGATGACACATGCACAGAGTGTGGATGATGGTCTTTCTAATGATGCAGTTCTGAAACTACTGTGGTAGTATTTTTCAATACATTTTTGTAATTTTTCAGGTGATATTTTTCGGTGGTGGATGGTTATTCTTTTTGAAGCACTTATTTCGAGATTATGAGGTAACAGTATTGAGTAATTTGATTGAATATGATGACTTTCCACTTTTTTGTAAAATGTTTTCATAATCAAAAACTTTGTCAATTATACCTGAAAATATTTCTATAAGATGCTATTTATATCTATGCATCTTCTTGATCAAACTGAACTTGTTATAAAAGAGTTTATATAAAACCTAGGTTTAGAGGAATTGCATGACATCTGATTGAAAATTGGAATGATGTAAATTGATGCCATTAGTGTCTCTGTTACTCATAGAAAACCTCTTTACAATCCCTTAAATTAGTAAACTTTTTTTGTGATGTCACGATTTTTAATTAAAGAATGTGTCTGACTTAAGAATTTCTTCTTTGTCTTCAGGTTCACCATTCTGTTGTTTTGTTAGTATTTTCTGTAACATTTGCTCTGTCATGTACAATGTTTGAGCTGATTATATTTGAAATTTTGGGCTTTCTTGATGCTAGGTGAGTTATATTTTCTGTTTAAAGATGGGCTCCCTTATTTTCATTTATTTTCTTGATGCTAGGTGAGTTATATTTTCTGTTTAAAGATGTGTTCCCTTATTTTCATCTATAAAAATGAAAATGCAAATACTTATATGAATGGAAAGTAGAGGTGTTCTAATGACTTGGAAAAATACCAGCTTGTCTCAAATGTCTATAATTAGTTCATAATTAGCTAAATTAGAAGAGAATTACCACCAGAATTCCAATGAGTGACCGATCAAGAAAGGTCAAAAAGTCTTTTTTTGTTTATCCAGACTGTACATACATGGACATTTATGATTGGTTAAAACTCTTAATTATATGCAATAAGAACACAATGATAAGATTAAGAATACATGACAATTCATCAGAAACACCAATTAATCAAATAGTTTGCTTATTTTGACACCCATCTTTAATACAGAAATCCAAACTAAAACCACTTACCGGTATATATATTTGATATATATTTATTGTGTGTTGGAATAGCATTTTGTACTTCTGCACAGTTTGTATCTCTTTCAACAATTGAATAATATAGTCAATTAGAATATTACCTGTATCTAGGAATTTTAGGATGGTTAAGTAATGTTACGAAAACACAGACACAGGCTTGTAAGCGTTACCTCTAGTTAGAGAGTATTATTTGTGCAGTTAGTTTGAATACTATTAAATGATTTGAATTTATGAGATGAAAAATCCAGATAATCTTCAGAATCTGAAATATATAAAAAGAATACGGGTTGCTATAGGAACCTTTATAGCTAGGGCTGTTTTTCACTTACAATGAACAAGATATTGTGTTGCGTTTCACATGAAAATTTTTAAAAATAATTATTTCTGACTTTAAAAAATTGAGAAATTACCTTCACATTTCTTTACTTGTAAATGTTCTTGTAACAAATTTTGAAATTTCTCCTATCTTTTCTCTTTCCCTATATATTAAATGAATCACTATTATTTTAGCAATAAATCTTTTTTTTAGATAGATATCGTTAATAGTGTATTGAATCGTAACTTCAAGAATCATTGTAGCCCTATATAAGATTCATTTTTCGGTTTCAGTTCCCGTTTATTTCATTGGAAAGTTGGATTGTTTTCAATATTGTTCACATTAATAGCAGTCTTACCATTTTATATAGCATATTATATATTGGGTAATATCAAGATTGGTGAGTAAACTTATGAAATTTTTTTGCAAATATTAGTCCACTCATTTGATTTTGCGTTTTGCTCATTACAGTCATGCATGCAATGCTCTGGCAGTCATCTTATAAAGACATTTTTGAGCTGTGTCTTTTTTCATTCTATGATACCTTAAAGGCATTATTATAAAGAGGTTTTCTGAATTTTGTATTTGGATTGGGGACACTGATAGAATCAATTTGCACCATTCCAATTTTTAGTCAGACGTCTGTGGTTTCTGCAATTCAACTAAAACTAAGTGTTTGACAACGTCACAAATCGCGAAGGGCCTTATGTGATAAAGCATATTTTGCAGTTAGTGAGGTCATCAAAAAATAAATTTAATAAATGATATAAAGTAATAATATATTTTCCAGTGCCACAGAAACCCCATGTCAGAACATTATGTACATTTGGAGCTTGGCTAGCATTTCTTTATTTATTCTGGAAATTGGGTGATCCTTTTCCCATACTTAGTCCAAAACATGGTAAGTCATTTTTACATGTATTCATATTTACTGGTAATATTTCAAATGTGTGTCTGTAGCTTGAGCTGGATTAATTCACAAGATAACTCTCGTACCTACATTGAGACGTGGAGTGGACATGGGTGTCTGAAGGAGAAGTTTTATTATTATTGTTCAAAAAAACTGTGACATCATAATCATAATATGTGATTATTACAAGATTACAATATGTGATTACAATCTTTGATTACAATGTTCGATTACAATGTTTGATAACAATATTTGATAACAATATTTGATTGCAATATGTGATTAGAATTACAATATTTTATTTCAATATGTAATTATGATTAAAATATGTGATTTTAATATTTGATTACAATGTTTGATTTCAATGTTCGATTACTATATTTGATTACAATATGTGATTACAGTGTGTAATTACAATATTTGATTGAAATTACAATATGTGATTGGAATTACAAAACATGTGATTAGAATTAGAATGTGTGATTAGAATTACAATATGTGATTTCAATATATGATTATGATTACAATTTGCGATTTCAATATAAGCTTATATGTGATTACGATAAGTGATTACAATTACAATATGTGATTACAATTAAAATATGTGATGTCAATATGTGATTATGATTACAATATGCGATTTCAATATAAGCTTATATGTGATTACGATATGTGATTAGAATTACAATATGTGATTACAATTACAATATTTGATTACCATTACAATATGTGATTACAATTACAATATTTGATTACAATTACAATATGTGATTACGATATTTAAATACAATATGTGATTTCAATATATGATTTTGATTACAATATGTGATTACGATATTTGATTACAATATGTGATTACGATATTTGATTACAATATGTGATTACGATATTTGATTACAATATATGATAGGTTGAAATGATACAACACATTTTATCACAAAGGGCTTGTTTTTTTTTTAATTCTGGAATGCATGAGAGTCATTGGGGGCACAGTACATAATGAAATAAAGTGACTTCATATTTTTTTTTCTGCGATGTTTGTGACTGGTTTTATCATTATTCTAGGTCTCTATGTTATTTTGTAGGTATATTTTCAATAGAACAGTGTATAGGACGTGTTGGTGTAGTAGGTGTTACTATTATGGCTCTACTCTCAGGATTTGGTGCTGTTAATTGTCCCTATACTTATATGCATTATTTTGTTAGGTGAGTTCCCCATGAACATATAATATACTTTATATCAACAACTAGAAGGTCAAACGTCAACACAAATGTACACATGAAAACTTAAGTCTTGTTTTGATTAAATCAGCAATTCCCAAATTTGATGTTAAAGGGACAGGTGCGCCATCTTTGGGGTTGATTTTGTAAATATTAAGAGAGGCACAATTGCTTATGTAATCGATAATCGAAATATGCCACATTTTAATATGGCTTAAAAGGACAGATGTGCCGTTTTGGTGGGGGTTGATTTGAGTCCTGAAAATATATAAATACAGTCTTCAAAAGTACTAAAAATGTACGAAAATTGATTAATTCCTTAAAAAATACTTCAAACTAGGAATTTTACTCAATATTTCTATGTATTCTCTATATGTCACAGAGTATCTCAGAATGACATGTCATCATTCAAACGCAGATAATTCTGGACAAACATGAGTTTGAAGACTCAAGTTTCGATGGTGAGCTGTGAACACTATTACTGATTGGCTTAGCTAAAAAATTCCTGTTTCTCAGACTAAAGTATGATCGGTCAAAAGGGTAAAATCAACAGCTCTTGTAAATAGGTAGATGAAAAGAAACTGTACAAAAAGTTCAGCTTCAAATAATTTTTCATTTTTAAATTAAATTAAATCAAACACAGTCTGTATTTTAATAATGTTGACACTCATAGCATCAATTTCCACCTTTCAAATTTTCAGTCAGTTTAACCACAATTGAAAATTGGAATGGTTAAATTGATGCTTTCCTTGTCCGCGATATACATAAACTTCTTGACAATCCCTTTAATGTCCTTGGTATTTGCTTGTAGGCATGTAACAGACGCTGATATACAAAGTATAGAAAAAAGATTATTACAATCTCTAGATATGATTATAATGAAGAAAAAGAGGTTAGTAAAATCCTGTGTTAGATTATAAACTAATTACTCCTAATGAATTAAAACCCCCATGGATTTACATTTTGCCGTTTATGGCATTGGATTGGTTGTGCGTCTGTCAGTTCTTATTTGCTTTTAATTGGCCTATAATCTGTACTTTTCAGTCATATATGTAGATATATATGTCATAAATGACAATAGGAGACAGAGTTATTGCCCTTGTCTACAGACAATAACCGTGTTTCTAGCTTAGAGCCAGCTTTAATGCAGAATGAGTTTAACTGGTTCCCGAACGACTTTAGCCTTGATCACAAAGTCGCACATTTTTGACAACTCATGATGTACAAGATTACTGTTTAAACCGGTACAAAAAAAATAAACTGGAAAGACCAGTATGCCCCCTATTGCTGAACAAGATAAAGCCGGGTTTAAGTAAGCTTTGAGTTGGCCCCCAGTGGAAACACAGTTAAAGATGTTTATCTTGTTACATTTCAACTGATTTTTTTTAAAACTTTCAATACAAGTTTTGGTATTTGAGCAATTTCAAGCAGGATGTTTATGGAAATTGGATGGGGGCTTCACCACAATTTCATACAGAGTGATTGCCCTTGTTTTCTTTCAGAATAGCTATAGCTAAAAGAGAAAATCTAAGAAAGGCTAGTATGTCAACAGGATCTGGAGGGTTGTGGGGAATGTTAAAAAATGTTACTTCTGGTAGCGGACAAGAGAGTATCCTTTCTTATCAACATTAATCATTGCCTTCCGATGTTCTCATTTTAATTATTTAGCTTAGCCAATCAGTAATAGTTTTCACAGCTCACCATCGAAATTTGAGCCTTCAAATCCATGAATGTCCAGAATTGTCTGCGTTTGAGTGTTAAAATGATGACTCGATATATATATAGAAAAGACATATATATATAGAAATAGTGAATAAAATTCCAAGTTTGAGATATTTTTGATGGTATTATGTGTTTTGATATAAGTCTAGTACTTTTGAAGGCTGTATTTACTATTATCAAGACTCAAATTAACCCCCCCCCCCCCCCCCAAAAATGGCACAACTATCCCTTTAAGCAATATTAAAATGTGGCATATTTAGATTTTTAATCGATTACATAAGCAATTGTGCCTCTCTGGAGAAAGAAAGGCCACAAGCAAAGTCATCAATTTAATGGCATGTATTAGATACACCAAATGAACAATATTAGCTATTACTGATTATTATTTGTTTAGCTTCAAATTATAACTCTTCCTCGTGGCTGTAATTCTTACTAACTCCTTAACAATCTCAGATATTGGTCCATTACAACAAGATGCTAATGCTTTAGAAGAATTAAGTCGTCAGTTATTTTTAGAAACAGTTGATTTAAACGATGCAGTGGTAAGTAAGAAATAGTAATAGACATTGTTTATATGAATATCCTGAAATTAGATACAGCCATCCTTGATGTAAAAAGCTTGCTCTGACAACTATACCAACTCTTTGTTGTTTAAAGGGACATTCCCCTTTTTATACGCCCACACGTAAGATGGGCGTATATTGTAATCACCCCGTCGGTCCGTCCGTCCGTCCGTTCACATTTGGCTCGTGCTCACTCTACAGGCTACAGTTCTTTATGGATTCTTTTGTTTTTTATTTTGTATGTCAATGTTGTTATGAAGATGATCCCTATTGATTTTCGTGATGATCGGATAATTTTTCACCGAAATATCGTGTCTGACTTGACGTTTTTCTCTATTAGCTATATTGTGCAACTCGTGCTCACTCTACAGGCTACAATTTTTTACAGATTCTTTTGATTTTTATTTTGTGTGTCAATGTCATTATGAAGATGATCCCTATTGATTTTCGTGATGATTGGATAATTTTTCACCGAAATAACTTGTCTGACCTGACATTTTACTCTATTAGCTATATTGTGCAACCCTGTAGTCACTAAAGACTGTTTAATCATTTCTGACAGCTGCCAGTGGGCGTATGTTACCTTGCCTGGCAAGCTATCTTTATATGCCCACATGAAAAGAAATTGACGGATTTTGACAAAACTTGGTATTAGTGTTCGTAATCACCCAAGGATGAACCCTATTGAAATTCTGAAGAATCGAAAAATATCTAGTATAAGTTATTGCCCGTGTTCTTGAAAACGGATTTTGACGAAACTTGGTGTGAGTGTTAGTAATCACCCAAGGATGAACCCAGAAGAAAATCAGAAGAATCAAAAAATATTTAGTATGAGTTATTGCCCTTGTTCTTGAAAACACGTTCAATTTTTAGCCTGTAAACACTAAAAGGCATGATTTTTGCTGGATTTTGACAAAATTTGGTTTTATTATTCAGTCCTGTGCTGAAGATTGAATATTTGCCTTCTAGAGTTTTCAAGAGCTAAAAATTGAACACGTTTTCAAGAACAAGGGCAATAACTCATACTTAATATTATTCAGTATTCATACTGGTGATTGTTACTGTACTGCTAAATATTTTTATTCAAAATCAAAGCTGCCAGTGGGCGTATATTACCTTGCCTGGCAAGCTATCTTTTAATGTCGATTTATACACCTAAATCTAGAGAAATGTACCCTTTATCCAGCTATCAATTTTGAATATTTAAAACGTGACGTAAGGTTTTTAAGTTTGTTATGCATTTTGGAAACTATTTCTAAAATTACTGTACCAATTTATGTAAAATAAATGCCTTATTGTAGAAACATATATCTCCTACGTATTTCAACTAATAATATCGTGCCATTATAAAGCCAAAGACCAAAACTAAGTCAAACTGTTTAATTAATAATTAACACTGTCCATTTTTTATAACTCAAATCTCTCTATGTGGACGTATATTGTCGGCACCCCTGTCTGTCCGTCAACATTTGCTTGTAAACGCTCTAAAAACTAGATTTTTTGATGGAATCAAATGAAATTCGGTATGTGTATACATATTCATTCAAAACGAAGATCAAGTTCGAATTTGAGCTATTTTCGACCGTTAGAAGCAGAGTTATTGCCTTTGCCCCAAAATCTTGAATATTTACCATCCGCATGCCGTGGTGGGCATATATGGCTGTCGTCCACTATCTTTAGTTAACCCTTTTAAAATAAATACAGTTTGTTCAAAAAGATACATAGATATAAATAGCATATTTTAGAAATATTTTCAGGTTAGGTATAATTTACGACAACTTTGATACCGAAAAGTTTCTTAAAAAATGGGGAATACCCCTTTAAAGAGAAAGACATTTTTGAATAAAAATTTGATTTGTTGCCTTCTGACACATTTCTTTGGGGCATATAAAAATGATATTTTGAAATCTGAAGTGGGGGTGCAATTGGGGGTTCCTGAATCCCCTCCTGGTGCTGCCACTGACGAAAGTTAGTAAAAAATAAGTTCAAGTTCAAAAGTATAGATTTAAACTGTGATATTCGAAAATTTAAAAGGGGATATCAGAAAATTTAAAAGGGGATATCCGAAAATTTAAAAGGGGATATCCGAAAATTTAAAAGGGGATATCAAAAATGACAATCCCAATAAAACCAATTCGTGCATTAAAAACCTATTAAGAGTAATTTTCCTAAAATCCTAATATGGTCAGAAATATAATTGAAATTTTTGTACTTATTTTTCTAGGAGAGAATCAACTATTCCAAAACTTTTAAAGGAAGATATTTCAACTTTTTGGGTTATTTTTTCTCCATTTATTGTGTGTGGAAAATATTCATGGTAAGACTATACCAACTCTATGTTGTTTAAAGGGACATTCCCCTTTTGATGTTTATGTTTAAAGCTATCATGCTCTAAGTATGGAATTTGCCATCTTACTATTTGTAAAGCATACTCAAAAACTTTTGGAAGTGAATTTATCATGAAAGGATTCATTGTTTGGAATTGCTATAAGGTTCACTTCTTAGTATTATAATATGCTGCCTGGTTCTTGATGATTTAAGCAGAACTGGTGCTAATTATTATGAGTTCTTTGATAACAATGCTCTGAAAGCGACAACAGTCTTTGTTAGATTGGATGGGAACATTATTTTTCAAGCTTACTACAAAAAGCTGAAATTAAGCTTAGTAGTATATGAGCTTACACATTGGTCGCATAGGGATTCCCCATTCCATTTCATTTCATGGGGAAAATGCGAAAAATGTATAAGCTCCCAAAAAAGACCTTAATTCCCTACATTTCATAAAACATCCTACATTTCATAAATTCTTACATTAAAAAAAGACTAAAAAACACCTTCAATCAATTTCCTACATTCCATCAAAAAAAGCATATTAAAAATACCCTTATATAAAATAATGTAGAAGGGAGATAATTCTTTTTTTGGAAATTTTCTACTCAAATTTTAAACCTTGAAAATGGCAAATAAAATACTAGATCTAATCTTTAGATTATACGATCCGATTCGTTATTCATTTAACAAGAAAAAAGAGAATTATATTATCATCTCACCCACTGTTGGTTCTAAATCCCAATTGAATGATGGTGGTAGAATTACCTTCGAAATAAATTCATTATCGAATTGGTTGCTTCTTTCCGATGCTTATTTCAGATGCGATTTCAAAATTAAAGATGGAACTCAGAATCAAGTTCCACAAACTAATACAACGTTAGAAAACAATTTCTTTCCATCTTTATTTAGCGAGATGGTTTTGGAAGCTGGTTCAAATCCGATAGAAACAATTAAACACCCTGGGGAATTCGACACAATGTTGAAAACAGTTTTATATCCTAAAGATTTCGATTCAGTCTCAGGTTGGATACCCGATGTTGGTGATGGAAGTGTTTTAAAAGAACCGGTAAGAAATCTTGCAAATGATGCCAATTTAGCTAGTTGTTGCTCGAAACACAATAGAAAGAGTAGCACGAGCAGCTAATCATGGATTTGAAAAACGAGTACTTTAGTATAATAATATTGTTGAGAATAATAGGTGGGGTAATTACGTAAATTGGAAATTATATCCTTTATTCGGTCTGTTGGAACATAGAAAAGTTTCCATAGGGTTACCATATAAAATTCATCTACAAAGAGAAATCAACGATGATAAGATATTCTTTGGAGAGAATGGTTCAGATGCAAAATTAGAAATATCGAATCTCCAACTTTTCATACCCGTAATAAAACCATCAATTGAAGTAGAAACGAGAATATTCAACTCGTTAACTAAAGATATTGAAATAGCTTTTCTTCATCGTAACACGGTAGGTAGCATGACTTTAACTGGAGAATCCACCACGTGGTCAATCACTAACACTATTAAACCAGCAAGATATTTAATGGTTGGTTTCAAGAACTTACCAGATTCTGAAACGAATAACAATAATGTCTTCAGAGTGGCAATGAACCAAACTCAAGATCCTTTAATCCATAAAGTTCAAGTAAGATTAAACAACGGTAATTATCCCAACCAACATTTAACAATTAATCCAACCACAAATGATTATAATGAATTGTATAGAAACTATAAAAATATGTGTGAATTATTTGGAAATCCACCTCAGTTTGAATATGTAGATTTTGCACTTAATCATCCAATCTTCTGTTTTGATCTATCAGCTCACCAAGAAGATCTTTTCAAAACAGGAGTCAACATAAATATTCATATTGAAAAAATACAAGGAGATGTAACCGGTTATTGTTTACTACTCGAAGAAGCAAAACATTTAATCAAAATAGCAGATAGAAGAATGATAAGAATTGAGTAAAAAATACACCTTTAAAAATGAAACCAAAAACTTTAGTTATGAAAATAATAGAAGCTATTGAAACAGCTTCACCAACTGTAATAACTTTCAATGGTAAAAAAATCAACATAACTAAAAAACTTATTGATAAATATAAATATTGTAAAGTCAGAGACGATATAGATTTAGAAAGAATTGACGCGAACGCAAAAGAAGGGGGATTTTTTCCTTTCCTTCTACCTTTAATATTTGGTGGTATTGCAGCAGCGGGTGCAGCTACTGGAGGAATATCTGCCGCAGTCAAAGCTGCCAACGCAAAGAAAGCAGCTGATGTTAAAGCCGCTGAAGAACGCAGACATAATTTAGCAATTGAAAAGGAGGCACGAGGTTCAGGAGTGGGAGAAATGATAGGCACAATAAAAGAATTTGGAAAAAGATTTGGGGAAGAAACCAAGAAAACTGTTAAACAAGGATTAAATAAATTAGTAGATAGTATTGACACGAGAGAAGTCAAAGTCAAACATAAGGGTAATGGAATATTTTTAAAAGATATACACACTGGAGAAGGAATATTTCTTTCAAAGTATAAAGGAGAAGGAGTTATTTTTGGAACAAATTAAAATAATAAAAAATGGGCAAAAAATTTAATCATTCAGAAATATTTCCTAATAACCCAATGCTCATGTGTTTATGCGGTAGTTCTGGTTCGATTCTTTGTATATCTACACAACAACACCAGAGCAATCGTATTATTAATTTCTCAAAGATTTAGAATATTTACCAAAGAAAGATGTTCAAGACCTATTTCAATATTACGAAGAAAACGAAGAAAAAATGGAAATAAAAGATATCATAGATAACTACATCGA